ACTCACACACACACACACACACACACACACACACACACACACACACACAGACACACACAGCGTGTTAACAGATGCACAGAAAATATAAATTAATTTGTATTTACCTTGGAGTATGTGTTTTAAATAGTATTAAACGTTTTCTTAAAATATGATTATTTATCCATTTTTAATATTGTTTATAAATATAAATTGTTCAAAAACAGTAGCAGGGATATTTTCAAACAGCAAACAAATACGAAATCAAATTAACTTTAAAAAATAAACAAAACAAAAATCAAATAATTATTTGATGTTCAAATACGGAAGAAATAGTAAAAACACTAAATTAAGTTAAGAATCAAAAAATCTAATTTAATACAGCTGCATATGTAAGTAGAATATTATTAGATTTTTAAATAGTAAAATTGATCAATTAAATTAAATATGAATTAAAAAAAAAAAATAAATAATCTAATTCAATACAGCTGCATATTTAAGATTTTCATATGCTATACAAATAGTGAAATAGTAAAGTTAACTATACACTACCACTAGGGATGTAACGATTCACTCAACTCACGATTCGATTCAAGATTTTTTTTTTTTTACAAAATGATATTTAAGACAAATTATAAATTAAATGTGTCCTTTTATTATTGCTTGGACAAAAATGTACTGTACATTTCTTTGTGAAATTGAAATAGAACACTATAATAATATACTAATATAGCACTTGTAAATTATTGCTCTTTTGTTGGTTTTGATTGCTTCTATTGTCCTCATTTGTTAGTCGCCTTGGATAAAAGCATCTGCTAAATAGCTAAATTTAAATTTAATGTAAATGTAAATAACAAAACTAAATTGAACATTTAAAACAAGCCCCAAATCAAATAAATAACACAAATAAAATAAATCTCTTCATTTAAAATTAGAGGCAACCACTGCATTTTAATCATGATCCAAACAAAGATGCTGCATACATGCAACATGAGCAGCTTTTAATCTAAATTAACGTTATACAGAGGCAAGAGGAAAATAAAAAATAAAAGACAGTTCCCCTCAGACATGCATTCATATAAACTCTTACCCCTTATTGAATCTTGATTTGTTTAGCATCTCAACCGATGTGAATCGTCACATATTTAAATCGATTTTCAACCAGCTCGCGGTTAATTGTTACATCCCTAACTACCACTCCATGTTAAAGCTGTAAAAAAGACATTATTTGTGTTTAATAAAGCAGGTAATCTTTAGGCAGCCTATTCATGATGTCAGGAAGGCCAACGTGACCTCAGACACAATAAAGGCCAGCTGGCAAACGTTTCTATTAAAGTTATTTTGATATCGAAGAGACGGACACAACAAACAACAGTCTTCTGAAAAGCAGACTAAAAGCTCTCGGTTGTTTCAAAGAGAAAACCAAACAGCATATGCTCTTAAATTAAATTAACTTCAAATTTAAGACAGCTGCGGATACAAGTGAAATAGTGGATTTTCAAACACTTCACAAATGACACAATTACTCAAATATATTAACTATGAATAAACAAAAAAAGATTATTCTAATTCAACACAACTGCATATACAAGTAGAAAATGAGCAGATTTTCAAATACTACAGAAATAGTAAAATTACAAAATTGAATTAAGAATTTAATTACTACTTTTTTTATTCTAAATCAATACAGCTGCATATACAAGTAAAATATGTTTACATTGTCAAACACTTCAAATATA